AGGTCCGGGTGTCGTTGAAGGGTTAAGTAAACACGTTTTGTACAGTTATCACGGATTCTAGTTAGGTCCGGGTGTCGTTGAGGAGTAAGTAAACATGTTTTGCTCATTATACTCTGATATTACTTAATCTCACAGTGTCATTGAGTAGTTACATAAACATGTTTAGTACAGTAATTCCGGATACTAGTTACTGTCCGAGTGTGGTTGTCGGATTAAGTCAATGTGTGGTACAGTAATAAAAGATACTAGTTACTGTCCGAGTGTGGTTGAGGGGTCAAGTCAACGTATGGTACAGTAATAAAATATTCCAGTTACTGTCTGAGTGTGGTTGAGGGGTCAAGTCAACGTATGGTACAGCAATAAAAGATTCTAGTTTCTGTCCGAGTGTGGTTGAGGGGTTAAGTCAATGTATGGTATAGCAATAAAAGATTCTAGTTACTGTCCGAGTGTGGTTGAGGGGTTAAATCAACGTATGGTACAGCAATAAAAGATTCTAGTTACTGTCCGAGTGTGGTTGAGGGGTTAAATCAACGTATGGTACAGCAATAAAAGATTCTAGTTACTGTCCGAGTGTGGTTGAGGGGTCAAGTAAACAGCTTATATATGTTGTGACCTGACCTACACGTATTAAATTAGGCGGTAATTTAATAAAGTCTAAGAACTTTGTTTTATATTTACCAACAAGCTAGGCGAAGTTACTAATAACACGATATTAAAAATAATACAAAAAAAACGTTTCAGTAAAACTGATCTTTACTTGACATGTCTAGTGATATTCCTTTCACACCATCGTTTCATTAAAACTGATCTTTACTTGACATGTCTAGTGACATTCCTTTCACACCATCGTTTCAGTAAAACTGATCTTTACTTGACATGTCTAGTGACATTCCTTTCTCACCATCGTTTCAGTAAAACTGGTCTTTACTTGACAAGTCTAGTGACATTCCTTTCTCACCATCGTTTAATTAAAACTGATCTTTACTTGACATGTCTAGTGACATTCCTTTCACACCATCGTTTCAGTAAAGCTGATCTTTACTTGACATGTTTAGTGACA